GCCCCAGTGCACGCCAAAGATCTTGGTTTGATGAGGCCAGCAGGACAACATCCTCTGCAAACAGCAGAGATGGTATCCTGAGGTTCCAAAACTGGTCCCCCTCTAGTCCCTTGCTGCTCCTAGAAGTTCTGTCAATAAATGTAATGAACAGAACCGGTGACAAAGGACAGCCCTGGTAGAGTCCAGCATGCACTGGGAACAGGTCTGACTTACTGCCGGCAATGCAAACAAAGCTCTTGCTGCGGTCATACAGCGAATGGACAGCCCCGGACCCCATACTCTCCGAGCACCCGCAAGAGGGCACCACGAGGGACACACTTGAACACCTTCTACAGATCCACAAAACACATGTGGAATGGTCTAGCCAACCCACGCTAACCCTCGAGCACCCGATGAAGGTTATATAGCTGGTCCAGTGTGCCGCAACCGAGAAGAAAACCACATTGCTCCTCCTGGATCTGACGTTCGACTACCTGCTGGATCCTCCTCTCCAGCACCCTGGAGTAGACCTTACCAGGGAGGCAGAGGAGTGTTATCCCTCTGTAATTGGAGCACACCCTCCGCTCCCCCTTTTTAAAGAGAGGGACCACCACCCTTGTCTGCCAATCCAGGGGTACTGTCCCCCCGACCTCCACTTTATGTTTCAGAGACGTGTCAGCCAAGACAGTCCAACAATATCCAGAGTCTGATCTCATCCACACCCGGGGCCTTGCCACTGAGAAGCTTTCTAACTACCTTGATGACTTCAGCCTGATTGATGGGCTAGCCTCTACCTCCTCCTTGGAAGACTTGACGAAGTACTCCTTCCACCGCCCGACATCCACCGCCATCAACACCAGAGAATTGAAGAGTCTAGCCTCTCTCTAGTAGATGGGATCAGGAATCCAAGCTGTGCATAGATAAATACCCATCTATATAAAAACTCTGTGCAATAACCCAGTGTAATAATCCTGCTTTAAAAAAGAAAAAAAAAGACTTCAGCTATCATTTTTTATTATATATATATATTCTTTCTGATCCAAAAGACAGGTAAATGCAGAATTATTAGGCAACGTAATAAAAAACAAATATATACCCATCTCACTTGTTTATTTTCACCAGGTAAACTAATATAACAACTCAAAATTCAGAAAAAAACATTTGCGACATTGAAAAACAAAATAAACAAATCAGTGACCAATATAGCCACCTTTCTTCACCTTGACACTCAAAAGCCTTCCATCCATAGATTCTGTCAGTTGATCTGTTTGCAATCCACATTGCGTGAAGCAGCCACCACAGCCTCCCAGACACTGTTCAGAGAGGTGTATTGTTTTCCCTCCCTGTACATCTCACATTTCATGAAGGACCACAGGTTCTCGATGGGGTTCAGATGAACACGGGAGCCAAGTCATTATTTTTTCTCCTTTTAGACTTTTTCTGGCCACCCACGCTGTGGTGTGTAACAGAGCATTGTCCTGCTTGAATATCATGTTTTTCTTGAATGATGGCAACTTCTTCTTGTACCACTGTTTGAAGAAGGTGTCTTCCAGAAACTGGCAGTAGGCCTGGGAGTTGATCTTGACTCCATCATTAACCCGAAAAGGTCCCACAAACTCATCTTTGATGATACCAGCCCATACCAGGGCTGGTACCCATCACCTCCACCTTGCTGGCGTCTGAGTTGATAAGGCACTTGTTGCCCTTTACTGATCCAGCCTGGTGCCCATCCATCTGGCCCATCAAGACTCACTCTTATTTCATCAAACCAACTTGGAGAAATCAGTCTTCAGATATTTCTTGGCCCAATGTTGACATTTCCTCTTGTGTCTTGTTCAAAGGTGGCCTTTTTTCGGCTTTCCTTACCTTGGCCAGGTCCCTGAGTATTGCTTCTTGGAACTCCAGACATGTTGCAGCTCTGAAATATGGCACAACTGGTGGCTAATGGCTTCCTGGCAGCTTCATGCTTGATCCTTCTTAATTCATGGAGTTATTTTGCGTGTTTTCTTTTCAACATGCTACCGATTGGGTATTTGCCATGAACCGCTTGAATGTTCCATGATCCCGCTTCAAAAGCTTGGGAATTTCCAAACTGCTGCACCCCTGTGAGAGACATCTGACAATTTTTGACTTTTCAGAGTCTGTCATATCTCTTTTTAGACCCATTTTGCCAAAGGAAAGGAATTTGCCTAATATTTAAGCACACCTTATATAGGGTGTTGATGTCATTAGGCCACACCCCTTCTCAATACAGAGATGCACACCACCTGATTTACTTAATTGGTAGTTGGCTTTCAAGCCTATACAGCTTGGAGTAGGACAACGTGTATGAAAAGGATGATGTGGTCAAATACTCATTTGCCAAATAATTCTGCACACAGCTTATATTGTATATACCCCCATGCACCTTTTCTTTTTTTTCTTTTGGCACCTTCTTTTTTTTGAGTATTTGACCCGATGTAACAAGTACGTTTCTCCCCTGTGAGATCAATATAGTCAATCAATCAATCAATCAATCAATCAATCAATCAATCAATCAATCAATCAATCATAAATTGTATTTCTATAAGATGGGATCTTTTTTTCTCCCTGAGGTAAAAAAAAAAAAAAAATCAATGACACAGTGGATTTTTAACAGGTTTCAGTAAAATATTTTTTTTTGGATAGGCCAATCCTACGCCCCTGACCACTTTACATCTTCTTTTTAAGCTGATCAAACATGGTTCAATTTTTTTTAAAATTTTAAATCCCTTTTTAACAGAGATGGCAAAAGTACTTACTTTCCGTACTTGAGTAAAAGTACAGATACCTGTGTTAAAAAATACTCTGGTAAAAGTGGAAGTACTGATTAAACTTCTTTACTCAAGTAAAAGTAACAAAGTACAGGCTTGTAAATTTACTTAAAGTATAAAAGTAAAAGTAGAAACCACTTTTTTCATGCCGTTGCCTACATTTTAAATGGATGTCTGCCAATAGGACTAGATCTCCGTCGTGTTCATTTTCAATCATCTCGTCGTCCATACTACTATTTGCCGCCAATGAATACCGCCGAATCTGTCGATTCATCTTGTAGTGGTGCGTCAAATGCAACGTAGATTCCTATCCAATTAGATTGAATTTGGTATTGATGACGTGAAAAATAATAACGGTAACTCCATTGAAAAACTAAAGTAACGAGCCAATTTTTTTAAATGTAAGGAGTAGAAAGTACAGATATTTGTGTAAAAATGCAAGGAGTAAAAGTAAAAAGTCGCCATAAAAATAAGTAGTAAAGTAAAGTAAAAATATCAGAAAAATCTACTTGAGTACAGTAACAAAGTATTTGTACTTCGTTACTTCCCATCTCTGCTTTTTAAACATTTTGAAAGAGAAGGATTTATTAATAGAACTTTATTAATCTCACATTGGAGGAATGCCCCTCATTGCTAGTATCCTTGGAAACTAGAAAGTCACACCTGAAGTTACTTTTATTTAACAACAGTGGTTTACGAAATGCTTTGAACTCTGTTGATAATTTACAGAATAAATGTCATGATCAAGACTCTGTCTTTGGCAGGACAATGTAAATCAGACCTTTTATTAGAGTAGATTCTCTTTTAGGGTGTTAAAAGCACATTAGCCTCAGTTTTCAGCATTGTCCCAAAATGACAGCTCCACCTGGCGCATTGACCCACTTAAACCATTGTGGATCAGATTGGCTTCAACTGAGATGTCACTTATAGTTTTTTTTAAAGGAAGTTTTGGGTATTTGTTACTTTTAATTTCTAAAAAACTTGGGCAAGGCTAAAAAAATATTATGTTTTTCTCTGATTTAACACAAATCAGACATAGTGACAGTTTTGAATGTGAATTTGTAAAAGCCAGTAGGAATCCATCAGTTAATATGAGCTACAGCTTCAATAACCCTTGAGTGGAAGTTGTAGATGAATTTCTGAACTGTCATAAATCCATCCTAATCCACGGGGGCAGACTGTTGATCATATTATAATCAGGCATCATGTATTTGTGAGCAGCAATGGATTAAAGGATTGTTCTTCATGTTTGTCTAAAATAAATCTGCTGAACCTTTTTGGCCTGCAATCCTTTAGAGGACTGAAGGCTCATTTTTCATTTATATAAAAAGGGCAGAACTAATCCACATCCACTGGTTTTAAAATAAAAATAAAAACATTTGCACTTAATACAGGAGACCTCAACATACGCTGTGATAAAAGGTGCAAACATGAGGTCAGAGACTTCTGTGTTTAATCATGTGTGTATAACAGCGGGGGTGTCAAGCCTCTTCAGCTGGCATATGGACGTCCCGTTCAGCTACTTACATCCCATAATACACACAGATCTTTAACACAAAGGACTCTCGAATTACTCCTCCCATTACGTAAATGGTTGAGATTATCAACACGCAGAATAATGTCCAACCAATCACATTCCAGGTCCGCCCACAAGAAAAACCCGCACACTGGCTGAATCATTCAGACAATAGGAGAAAAAAGCCACAGTGACTTGCATCTTAGTTGTTAGATTTTAGTCTTTATTGTTCTATCTTTTTCTTGACAATTTGCTAGCGGACATGTGAAAACTTGGACCAACAAAACATCATTATTAAGATTAATATTATTATTGTTGATTTTTTTATCTTTCATTTATTACAACATACTGTCAGACTGCAGTAACAGTGAGAAGATGGTGTTTTTTAAAAAACAAACCAAGAAATCAAAAACCAAACAGGAAAAAAACAGAAAAAGAAACATTTTACTTCAGTATTCAATGCTGCTTTTCTTTTCTTTTTTATTCCATGTACACAATATAACAGTCTAAAAACATTAAACACACAGAGCTGAAGACATTGCAGTGTTGATTAGGGTGGGGGGGCGGCAGTCCTCAGGGCAGTTTAGCAACATAGTCCTGCTGGCAAAGATCTACAAGGGCGCTGGGAAGACTGGGGCTGACAGAGGGGGACTACAAACAAAAATGGCTGTCAATAGAAAACTAAGAGTCTTTTTTCATCTTCTTTTGTTTTGTTTTTTCCTTTACATTTAAACCCTCCTTTCTGAAGTGAACATAGGCTAAGTAACTGGACAGGAGATGAAGGGGGAAGCTACAGGGGAAGGAATGTCTCACTTTGTATTTTTTTACATTTCTGCGTTTTCTTTTCTCTCATAGACAATATAAAATCTCACAGACAAGCAAGGAAAAACTTAAAAAAACAAAACAAAAACAACTGGATGCACTTTTGTTTGCATGACCTGGACGAAGGGAGATGGAGGGATGAAGGGATGACTGGGATGGGGGGGGATTATTGCTTTCTGAGTAAGAATTTTTTTCTACTTCTCATCTACATGAATTACAACCCTCTCATTCGCTCCGACCATCTCTTTCTCACCGTGGTGATCTGTTTAAATGTGATTACACCGATTACTCAAGAGGAAGTAGGAGGGATGAAGGGAGAGAGGAGGAAGAGGAGGAGGAGGAGTTGGGGGTGGGGCTCAGAGCTCCTTGCTCAGCGAATCCCGGGCAGTTTTAATCCTCTTTGTTTGGCCTCACACGTTTCCCGCCTTTTTGTCTGGCAAATGATAACAAAAGAGATTGAAAAAATGAATTAAAAATAGAGTAATAATAATAAAAGCATTCATACAAAAAAAGGTTAGATGTGTGTTTAGTGGTTTAGTACAGATGCTGGTAGCTTGTGTTGAGTTAGTTATTTTAGTGTTAAAGGATGCACAGAAAGAAAAAAAACAACAACACTGTCACATTATAAATGATCATTACACAAAAACCAACATAAAGACCAACGGCCGGGTTTTGATGTGCTGTATGTTTTTCTTAATTCTATTCTCTAACATCTTCTTCATCTCTATGTTCAGAAATACAGTAAAAAAAAAGGTTGAAATCTAATGAAACAGAGGGGCTCAAGTTGGTCAGTCACTGTTTAGCAACAAAACCCCCCAAAAAACACAGATTACAGAGAAAAATAAGGCTATTAATCTGGTTTTCAGCTACGTATGCCTGTTCCTAAAGTTAGCATGTTAGCATGTCTTTCCGAAGGAAGCTGTCCGCTGAAGCTTTTATTCTAATCTTCTACTGATTGACAGACTCAATTGTTTTGATGTTTTCTTGACAATATGCCTTCCTTCACAGTAAACCCTGAAATAGCTGTTTGAGCTATTGCATTGTTAGCTAGTTAAAGCCAACGGAAAATTGTTAAACTCAAGACTCAGTGACACTGCCTAGTGAAACCTTAATTGTATTCACTATTAATTGATCTTCTATGCTTGATTGATCTCTAGTAGACTACAGACATGGAGACAACAATGTTAACTATGAGCAGTTAGCGAGTTAAAGCTAATTTATGGCTGATAAGTGCGACTTGTTAAACAATTTTATTAGGGTTTGTAAACTAACCTCTCATGTCTTATTTTTGGCATTACTAAAAGCAGATTGAACTACCTGAGCTTACGCCTGTTAGTTTTTAAATCTATTAGCTACATAATGAATTCAACTATCAGAAAACATTTAGCCTAATAAATGCAACTTTGCTGACAAGGCATTGTGTCGCTTTGTTTAATGGATTATCATCTACAACCATGTCTCCCCTTTAAAGTAATACTGAATTGCCTTCAACTAACACGGCTAACTACTAGAACTACAATTTAATGGAACTGGAAGAGCTACTAGATCCTATCAATTGCTGGAAGATTGTGAAGCAAGTTTTGTCAAAAATGGCCTGAGCATCCACTTTTTTCCACTAATGACGGATTTGTCTACAGAAGAAGCTTTTTTACCAAATACTTTGTACCTGGAAGATCCAACAGAAAGAGACTGCTGTTGTGCTTTTAGTAGTCTTACCCTAAAGGTCCACATGGATGATAATAAAAAAAAACATTTAACTTCCTGATTCAAAAAAATCTTTTGACTTAAATCTATCTAAACTATTTCTGTAGTAGACTACAGAAATGTCTGGAAGGCGATATATGCTAATTTAATATAATTCATAATTTAACTTAATTTAGATTTTTCAGGCTCTATAAACAGCCAACAAGGTCAGATAATAACGAAATTAGGCTTTTTTTTAAATAAATAAATAAATATCTGGAAAGGTTGTCAAGTAGGCCTATGTGTTCAGTCTGCAGCTAATCCTCACAAAGTCAGAACGTTAATAATAAAGCTATTATGGACAGTTTTGGTTCCTGAACTCCCCCTTGGAATGCAAAATTGTTGATTTCTCATTTATGAGGGTTTATTTTCAGTTTTTTTAAAAATAGATAAAACATAAATTTACGTCCTTAATTAGAATGCAATGTAACAGAGACAGTGCTACACAAAGTTAATTGATTGGGCTAGTTCTGCAATCACCACGTCACATTAGCACCAATTTTTTCTTTCTTTGGTTGCTTTTTTCAATTTAAACAATTAAATCAGACTTTCTGAAATGCATTTGACCAGGATATTCGTGTGCTTTTCAGAGAACAAGTTCATTAAAAGAAGCAGAGGTTGAAAGAGGCCTCCAGTAAACTGTGCTGCTGTGGTTGGAGCTGTTTGGCTTTCTGGGAGCATCTGCTGAGCCATTTACAGATCAAAGCAAGGCGGCTGCTGGACGCCGAGCCTCACGAAGTAGTCTGAATGGAGAGGAGGCGGGAATAATTAATAATGGAAGAGGTTTACAGGCACTTCACCTGCTGTTGCTCAGCATCTGGCTGCTCCAAGCAGGTGGTAACAAGAGAAAAGCTTCAAACATAGTAGAGTTGGCAAAGAGGAGTGAGAGCACTGAGCGGACCACACATTAGTGGAAGACATGTTTAAGTCTAGTTTGTGTTTACTGGCTGTTGAGGTCAGTTAGCCCCTACAGCAGCCTGTCAGTTATTTCTGTGCTTGTAAACTTCCCAAAGCAATAGGCTTCCTAACTGCTCTAAATCTGGCTCTCCTCAGCTGAGTCCTGTTGCCTGGATTCTTCATGAATGTGATGCTACATTAAAGTCTTTTAAAAAGGAAGGCTTCTTTTTCTCCATATCTCTGTGCTTTATTTAAAAAAAGTCAACAGCAATGTTTGACAGATTCCATCCTGAATTAGCTCAGTAGACAGGTCTAACTCAGCAAAAAGACAGGAAGCAGAGGGAAACTTTAGGATGTTTTCACCCTACACACAGTTATGATTTATTGTTTAGAAACTCATCACAGAAACTTTGATTCTAACCATTAGCATTAATGTAAAATTAGATTTTAGTCCCAAAAAAGATTATTCTTAATTGTGTGAGAGAATAGTCAGAATATTGTTTTAACAGCTACGTTTCTGTAGTGCCATGGAACATACTATACTATTTGTAGACAACTGATTTTAAAAGGCAACTCGCCCCTAAATCTTTTGATTATCTTTTTTTCCTTTGTTATAAACTTGATGTCTTTGTGTTGTCTACCCCCAACCCCCAACCCATGTTTAACTGGCGTATTGCATCTAATTTTGAGATGCAATACTGGTGTTGGCTATAACTGGAGCTGATAAAAGTGTCATTAACAATGATTAGCTTTCTGCAAAGTCAGCTTCCTAATGTCTGTGTGGATCTTAAATCTAAGTAATAAATGTTTATAAGTGATCTTAATTACCCTTCAGTTAGAGTAACTTAATCCTGCAGAAACCCTACATTGTCCATTTGACAGATGATGCCAGAAGAATGGTCAAATGCCTCGGAAGAATGCTGGTCTGATTTGTCTCCTGGCTAATGTTCTTGCCAAGGCCGTGTCTGAGGCTACGTTCACACCAAATATACGCGACTTGTATGTGATTTCCTGTGTGAACTGCATTTATAAAATGCAAGTGTCCCGCATGCGCAGTGAAGGACGTAATAATGTCACAATCCAGCGTGCGCTGTGTTTACTGAAGTAAACATGGATTGTAGTGCCGGAGCGCATCTAGTGATCTTTCCCAACCTTAAAAAAACGATGTTTTCAATATAGATACTACTCTCCGCATCATCGTCCACCATGGTTGTAGCAAGACACAGAATAGTGACCTTTGTTCAGTATTAATGGTCGGATGAATGCGACCTGGCTGTTCAGACACAGTTTCAGATTCAGGACCACATAGCCAAGTGGTCTGGGTTGCATTGGAAAAACCCGAGATCTGAGTTGTTTGGACTCCCATGAAAAGATCAGATACAGGTTGCATATGGGCAAAAAAATCGGATTTGGGTCACTTCAGACTGCTGTGTGAACATAGCCTAAGTCCTTATAAACCCAGACTGTGGAAAAACCATGGACCTACAGTTGGACCTTAGACACTGTCGATCACTCTATTTTATCAGAGTACCTGAAAAACTGGGTTGGCCTTACTGGTCCACCATTAAACTGGTTTATATACTTTTTGAAGAAAAGGGATTTTTTTTGTGTCTCAGTTGGTAATTTACATCAGAGACCACATAAAAGACGCAGTGTTACCCAAGGACGCATCTTAGGCTTCTTGCTATTCAACATCTACATGCTCCCTAGCTCATAGACCACATAAGTTATTATAACTATACAGATAAGAAATGACTATTCATTACAATGTCACCAGGAGACTATGAAAGCATTCCAACTCTGGATAAATGCAGAGAAGAAATCAACACATGGATGGGACAACATTTTCTGCAGCTTAATCAAAACAAAACTGAGGTAACAATATCTGGACCAAAGGAAGAGCAATCAGAAGTTAGCACAAAGCATTAGTTATTACAGCTACAACAGCTACAAAAAAAAACTCTGCCCAGGCTCTAAATTTCGGTGTAGTGATGGTCTCAAACCTGATCAATCACTGAGTTCACATGGTGATAACAAACTCGGGCTTCAATCATCTAAAGACGATCCCTTGGATTAAAGGACAAATGTCTCAGCAGGACCTTGAAAAGCTAATTAGTTTTCTTTAGTAAAATTAACTACTACAATTTTTTCATCACTGATCTGCTTAAAAAATGGATCATGCAGCCGAGCCTGATCTAGGATACCGCTGCCAGTTTCCTTACTAAAACTGATAAAGTGAAGAAAATCAGCCCAGATCTAAAGTCCCTCCACAATCTCCTGTATATCACTAAACAGACATTAAAATACTTCTGTAAGTGTATAAATCACTGAATATCTTAGCTTCAAAATACATTAAAGATGTCAGTGGATCAATCACTGCGACTTCTAAGGTCTTCTGGCACAAATCTACTCTGCATATCCACAACCAAACATGAAGCAGCTTATGCCCCACTAGTCTGGAAAAAAACTCCTGGAAACCTAACTGGATCATTCTATCACAGCCAGTCAAGGTCATTGTTTCAATTTCTTATAGCAACATCACGCAGAGACATCTGGCACCTCAACTTCCCAGAAACGCCAGCTGTATGTAATAATTTTTTTCTTTCACCAAATTGTTTATTTCATTGGATCAAAAACAATATTACAGTTTTATAACGTAATACATTGGTTTCCAAACTTTCCTATTCTTCACTTTTCTTTGTTGAGCTGTTGAAATGTTTGGTCATAGGGAGTCTATGACCAAACATTTCAACAGCTCAACAAAGAAAAGTGATGCAAACCAAATTGCAATAAATTGAACTCAAATCTACCTGTTTTTTATTTTAACATTTTAAGTTACTCCTCAACAAAATTCAACAATTCCAATAATATTTTTTTTTCTGAATTACTTCTTAAAATTGACCATTTAATCAGTTAATTAATTGATTAGTGTTTTGCAGGTGCACATGATCAGCCTATGTTCTATGAACATATCATTCTACCAAAAGAGCACAATAAAAATTCTCATACAAGTAGTTTTATTTAAGACAAATGCATGTAAAATACTCTCCACAAACATTTTGTACGTCTTGTGAATATAGATTCGATACAACGAGGCCCCATATATGTCACAAGCATCAGTTCACGCTGCTTCTCTGCTCTGTCTTGGTTTTTAGGTGCCTGCAGCTCTTTTCCTACCGGCCTGTGCATCTGTTTCTGTGTGCACATGTCAACTTTTGTAAATTTAAGGATGGAACCATTCTGAGAAAGTAAACCATCTGTGATTGGCTACTTTTCAGGTAATCCTTCCTAATTGTGGCTAGTAACGTTAGCAGAACATCTTAAGGCTAATTGCTGTTTTTTAAAGTGTAAAATTTGGCTAAATGAAGTCATCATTTAATAACTTAGTCTAAGACAGTCATGAATGTGTTCTGACCACAGTAGCAATATGCTCTAAAATGAGTAATGCTACATTTGTGCTAATGTATATATACTGAGAAAGTAAGGCTTCAATGAAGTCTTGTTTTACTGGCAATAGTTTATACACTACTTTTACTTCTACAGCTGTTATAATGATCAATAAAGTTATTGTAGTCATCTAAGATGCTATAATACATTGTTTTAATCTTCCTAAAAGCATTTGTGTGTGACTTAATTAGGGTGAGATTAATGTAAATACCTGTTAAACTGTCTGAATTTGTAGTAGTTCACAGCACAGTGTTGCCTCTACAAATAAGACAACCAAGTCTCAGCAATGGCCCAATCCAATCAATGAGATGTCCATGTATTAATGTCTAGGTGCAAACATTACTACTCACAACATGGAAGGAAATAATAGAGGTGGGATTACCTAAAAAGAGGCCAATCACAGAGAGTATACTTGTTGGTCCCATTCTCAAGGTTATAATGGTTGACATGAGCCACAGAAATATTCATAAACGAGTAGGACAGAATCTATCGGAGAATACAAAGCAAGCTACAAGCACAGAGAAGGCTGTTACATACAGTAGCAGCCATTAAAAATGCTCCTTCCCAGTCAAAAGCCAGCCGAATGGCAGCCCACTTCCCTCCAACTCCCAACGAATACCCCTAAAACTTCCAGCCTTCTCCTTGGCGTGCATTTTTTTACTCTGACTCCACCCTTTTACTGAATTACAGGGTCTGACGCTGCTCTTTATATCTTAATGTCCACAAATCATGACAGAGATAATATTTTGGTACAAAGATTGATGTTTAAAAAGGAATTGTAGGGGACCAGTCAAGGACCAGCCATTGACCAGCCAAGGGCCCATCAAGGAAAGTGGGAAATCTTGAAGGGCTGATAGTGTTTTGGGCACCTTATGGTATTGAATCTTTACTCATAGAACATTCAGATTAGGAAAATGTGAAGTTTTCCATTCATCATAATATTCATTTTGTTGATTTAAGGTGTTTCCACAGTTTCCCTCTGCTTACAGGAAGGCTGATTCAACCAGTTCGGCCTCTTCACCTTTTGGTTCCCGTCCCTTTCGGTTAACATCAGCCTAAATACTGTCCCCTAAAGAATAAACAGTTTACATACTTGTGCAGCATAACTTTTGCCACATGACAGTGTTTTAATCTGTGTGTAAATATCTTTAGGAAACTGTGAAAAAATAACTGTGAATAAAGTGATTATGTTTGCACAGTCAATATCTAACGTCAGCCTCATAGCCACCATTCAAGCCATTGTTGATGCTCAGCTCCCTCTCTAATTGGTTGGTAGCTGCTGACATCACATTTTGCACAATAGCCACTGCTGCTTCATGGAGGTCCCTCTTCCTCCTCTCCTCCTCCTCATCATCTTCTCCCTCCTCCCTCCCTTCCAGGTCACAGCCTCTCCCCTTCTCCTCCCTGCTCTCGGTTAGTGCTAGCTTTGACTCAACGTTGCTGCCTTTGCTTTGCTTCCTGCTGTTGTTTGTTAGTTCTGCTTCTTGTTGTTGTCTGTTGTTAGTATTTCCTCCTTTGTAGCCGTTTTGAGGCTCATCAGAGTCACAGTGGACACGCTCGAACTCACCGCTGTTCACGGCCGCTGTGGCGTTGATGATCTTGGCGTTGGCATCATCTTTCACCCCTCCAGATTCCTTGCTTTTCTTCACAGGGCTGCTTTCCGTTGGCTGCTCCTTGTCCTCCTCGTGGTGATTTTCCGTAGCGTTCTCCTCCGCCACGCCATTGGAGCAACCGGTTTCGCCATTGGTCCCCGGTGCTTCTGTCGCTGTCTGCTCTGGCTCCTTCTCCTCCTTGGCTGTGGTCTCCTCAGGTTCCGTCTTCTCCTCAGTTGCTGCCTCTTTGTCATTGGTCTCCTTGGTTACTTCCTCAGCTTCACCATCAGCACCACCCTCCTCTGCAGCATCGCCTCCCTCTGCAGCCTCCCCTTCCTCCTTGGCACCCTCGCCCTGGTCAACGCTGCTGGATTTGCCCTTTCGCATGATGAAATTCTTCAGGGAAACTGCCCGGCCGAAGTGGGAACGTTTGGCCTTGGCTGATTTGGAGTCCTTGCCTTCATCTGCATTTGCTTCCTCACCTGAAGGGAGAAATGGTTCAATGTAAAAATTGACTTCATCAAACTCTTTGTTTCCATGTTTGAAGATGTTTCGCTTCCCATCCAGAAAGCTTTTTCAATTCAAAATGTAAGATATATCTTTGAGCACACATACCTTTCTATGTCTCTAAAAGGGGTGTAGTTATAAGAGAGATTTCAGAGACATTTTAGAGACATAGATAGGTATGGGGCATTGCAGGCTAACAAAAGAAGACCAAATGACCCCAATTCCAAAGGGGTGGACCTGTTCGTCCGTTTCAATTTGCATGTTTTCTAAAGAACAAGGCTCTTTTGGGCTACTGTATAAAGCCTCAAACTCAACGCTATTTCTGACATTTTGAATTTAGAAAGCTTCCTGGATGAGAAGAGAAACATCTTCAAAACTGGAAACAAATTCCAGTGGATTGTTTTTTTTTTTTAACTTTCAAGCTTTTATCACCTGTGGACATTCCGTAGAAGGGCTGAAATACAAAGTCAACTGGAACACTGCAGCCTTTAGAAATGTCTTTTTATCATTGTCTAGCTGGGTTGCTAACAAAAAACCTGATATTTTAAACCCTGTTGTTGGTCAGTTCCTTCAATCCTCTGCTCAAATGATCTCTTAATTGCCTCAAGTGGATTTTCACCTTTTGCACAAGATCCAAATAAAAATCCACCAGCTTAACCTTAGACAGTCTATTTTAAAATTTGTACATGGAATGCATTTCGACATTACTCAAATGGGGACTCACTGTCTCTGTGAAACAAAATATGACCTCCTTTCAGTGGAATATTGCATTTAATGTCTACATAAGAAAAATCACCAGCTCTTCACTAGGGTCTTGAATTATTCAAATCTAACCTCTGATTCCACATGTTAATTATTCTTTAGACTAAGAAAAAACCAACATGGCTGTGCCTGAGGTACTAGGTACAGCTAAAAATCCAGCAGCTCTCTTGATGAGCCAACAGTATTTTAGAATTTGTGGCTTTTCTCTGCTGTACCTATTCTAGCAGACTCTAGGGGATAGAATACATAACAGACAACCTCACACTACATGCAGAAGTATAAAACATATGTTCAACACTTCAAAGCCTCTTCATGTCAACCAAAAGAAAAATAAGTTTCTTTCTTTTTCACAATCAATCATGGTGATATTTATGGGCAAAATCATAAAATGTCTATAGATGTATGTATTTGAAAACGCTCACCAGTAGCCAGTAGGAGCTGTAGCTCATTCGCCATATTTTTTCTGCATAGAGCAGTCTGCTTTTTACTATTTTTCGAGGCTGCACTTTAAAAACAAAATTAAATTGTCAAGAGAGCTGTTTCTAAATTAAATTTCTTTTTGTTTTACACTTGTATAAACAAAATGACAAATAAATCTTTGTATATTTTCAGACCTCAAGAACACATCAGGACTAAAACAGGCTCAACAGTAGAGAACATGTTGTCCACACTTAGAGGCCAATGAATTTACCTATTATGTGACTCTTAAACAGGTTGCAGCAGGCATCCCCAAAGGCCGCTGTCCTGCAGGTTTTAGAGGTTTCCTTGCTCCACCACAGGAGCTTTTTTGCTCAACTGCAATCATCATAATCAGCTCTGATAAAGCAGGGAAATATTTAAAACTTGCAGGACAGCGGCCCTCGAGGGCCAACTTTGGGGATGCCTGTGTTAAAGGTTCATCAAGAAGCAACACAGACACACACACAAAACAATTACACACACTCATACCTAAGGGCTCAACAAATCTGTTTTTGAACTGTTCGAGGAAGCTGGATGGCCCGGAGAGAACCTACGAGACCCTTGACTTGGATGTGAATCCAGGACTTATAGAACTTATCCAGGACTTATATCAAGAACGTATAGCGGAAAAGTTTGTGTGTGTTCGAGCTTAAGTTTTATTAACCAGTTAAGACCAAATGTATGAATAATGTGCTGACATGTAGGTAGTGTTTGATGTGTTCTAGTTGTTTAACTCATAAATTAGGGGGCCCTAAAAAGAATAAGAAATTGGTGTTTGGCAAAAGCTACTAACTGAGGAGTAAGAATAAATTTCAGGGTATTTCTTCACCCTTGTCTCACCTGGGACTGCGGCTGCATTGGCATCCTCTTCTCCTGTTGGGGCACACTCCGTGTTGGCCCGTTTGCTCTTGGGGATGACGCGCTTCTTGAACGAGGTCCAAATCTCGTTGGCGTGTTGTGTCACTGTTCCGCCTCCTGCTGCCTTCTCCTCCTCTCCTCCCTCAGCCTTGTCCTCCCCTCCCTCTGTCTTGGCCTCCTCAGGTCCTGCCTCGGCCTTGGCCTCTTCTTTTTCTTCTCCTTCACCTCCTCCTGTTCCCTCCTCTGTTTTGTCACCAGACTCTTTGTCTGAGCTCTTGGCCTTTCCGCTGATGCCAACCACAGATGAGTCTCTCTTGAGACCCTGGAAGGTCCAGGAGCGTTTTAGCTTCCACCTCTTGTGCCCGGACTCCTTGGAATCCAGTGTGGAGGAATCTCCACCTCCTCCTTCTCCCTCTGCTCCCTCCTCCTTCCAGTCCTCACCTCCACCACTCTTTTTGTGCGTTTTCTGAGCCATGAGCTTCTTAAAGGAGTGCCAACGCTTCATGTGCTTTGTAGACGCCGAGGAGGATGAGGCTTTCTGTTCTCCCTCTGTTCCTCCTGCTTCTCCTCCTTCCTCTACGGTGGAGTCTGTAGTGGCATTAAGTGCTTCAGGATCTTCTAGGCGATCCAGGGACCTAGAACGAACCTTGACTTTTTTCTCGGGTTCTCCTGCGCCACCATCCTTCTTCTCTGTGCTGCGATGGGAGAAGATCCTTGCCACAGGCTTTCGGATAAGATCACGAACTGTATGTTTGGTCTCTGCTGGTTTGCCCTTCTTCTCCTCCTCCTTCTCTCCATTCTCTGCAGGCTTGTCTGTTGCAGCCTCACCCTCAGCACCTCCCTCTGCTGCTCCCTCTGCTTGGACTCCTTCCTCTACTCCCTTGTCTCCCTCCTTCTCGCCTCCTTCGGTGGTGGCCTCCTCTGCTCCTCCTGTGGCTGTGGTGTGGTCCTTCTTCTTCCTCCCCGCCATCACCTTACCCAGACCACTCTTGTTGAGGAAGGAGTCCAGGAATGAGGTCTTGGGCTCTGTGGTGGTGTTTTCTGAGCTCTGTGGAGGTGCTTCTTCCCCACCTGCTGCTGCTCCGTCCTCCTCACCACCGGCCTCCTCTACCGCTGCTGCAGCTGTGTCATTGCTCACAGTCTCTTTGTTTTCCACCACCTCAGTGTTGATGGCTGTTCCATCTTTATCCACAACCTCACTGTTGACAGTCTCTGAGTTTGCGGTTTTTGCCGGTTGTTCGGCCTCAACTGGCTTGTTTTCAGGGGTTTTTCCTTCTTCCTGGACCACTGGCGCAGCACTGGCCTCAGTCGCCGCCATCTCAGAAAGGGAAAAGAATAACCACAGGTGAACTTCCTTCCTGAACCTTCTTTATACCTCTTCTTCTTTCTGGTACTTGTTTCCTCCTGCTGTGGTGGCGCTCTCAGGTCATGGAGCGCAGGGTGGAGAGCACTGACAGGTAGGAAAAGTACTCAGCATCCTAGTAGTCCTCCAAACTCCTAGAGAGAAAAGAAGTAGAGAGGGAGGGAGGGGGGGGAGAGGCACAGATGGTTAATAATCTTACTCAACACCATAGACACTCAATTAGTCTCGACTTGACCGTGCTTTGAATTTGGAATGAAGGGAGAAGCTCTGTGGGGAAAGGAATGCATGTACAATGTTTCCAGGACAAGTGACACAAAGATCACACCATTTGCTGTGATCTCCTCTAGAGTACATAAAACTATTTTCTCACTTCCAGATAGTAGGCAGGACTCGTTCAGAATACAGACAATAGTTAAAATTACTCATCTCTGAGAAGCTTTCTGTACCTTACAACACCAAGGTAGTTTTCTGGGTTTTAACCACACCTGTAATTGGGTCTGTTCAAAGGAGGGTTTCCCTGTGTTGTCTTTTGGATCTTAAAAAAATTATTTACAAAACATTGTCTTGGTGGATCCATTTGATGACCAAATTGTTAGCATTTGTAAGCTTTGATCTATGGATGAACAAAAAATTATTTTCTGTGTTTGACCTGCTGGTCATCAGACAGTAAACTAGGGCAAAACTGTCCCAGCTGATGCACTGAAAGTGAATTGGTTCAGTGATGATTCAAAATTTGCACCAGTGAAAATATCACATTCCAGTTGGAACGTGGAATCCCCCAAGCAAAACGCAGATTTATCAGCCAGTGAATGAATACTCCTGATCTCAGCTTGTTATAGGCATGAAGTGCCTATTGACAGAGGCCCCTTTTGCATTTCAGCCTTTGCGAACCACAGAGGGATGTTAAAAACGACTGACGACTGGTGAGAATGATGTAGAAAATACAGGAATATGAAGAGACCATCATATTTCCTCCAATCCAGATCTGTTCATGAGGTAAGAATGATTGTGATGGTAATGACAATAGTGAGGGATAAGCTCTCATAGGAAGATCACCTTAATCTTCTAATGGTAGTAAAAGCCTTAGTTACCAACAAACTACATATACACTAATGGATTAAGCCTCCGGCAATGATATGTAAGGTACAAGTACCGGCATAGTTCATATTTCCCACTAAAAACTAAAATCAGAGAAGGTTTGATACAAATAATGAAATCAGATGAGAACATAGTCAGTCTCTGCTGTACCAGCATGAATTGATGTGTTGAGAAAAAAAAAAAAGGTTTAGTAAGACCACAAGAACAACAGTCAACACAGTCAAGGAAACAGGTGCATTAATTATGCTTTGGAACAATTGGTGCACTGGGTGTTTAGGATTTCACCACACTGAGGGATCAATAAAGATGGCAGTGGACGCGGCCACTAGGAAGCACTTAGCAGTTAACGACAAAATGCAAGCAAATCTATCTACTCTTGCCACATGCTCATTCAGGACAAGTGTTACCTGCAAGTCAATGAGTCAATAAAATTGCTGGTAGGTAGAAAACATTTTACCAATCTGACTGTATGACCTAATTGAATTGTCTCCATAAAGTGTCCTGAGATGATGTGTTGTGAATTGATGCTATATAAATAACCTGAATTTAATTGCATTGAACCAACTTCCCTGAGCAACAACATCCATGGACAAATGATGAATCTTTGAGAAAGACCAACAAGACAATACCAGAGAAGCTCATAAACACTCTCACTTAGGACAAGGAAATGCATTGTTATTGTCTTGATTGCAGTAAATCTGTGCAGGAGCTGAAGGTTCCAGCTAATGTAAAGAAATCAAGAAAGTCTTATTGATTTGGAGATGTTCAGTATAAAGAAAAGGGTCATATCTACTTTCCTTTGTACAAAAAACCTGCAGAATAGCTAGAATAAAACCACTGTACTTTCACAACACCTAGAATATTTTGTGGTATCAAACGTCAACTCTTTTAGAAGCTAAATTCTCAGCATGCAGCCAGGTTTGAAATCCATGTTGCTGACACATTTATTTGTTTGAAGTGTGCTGAAGCAGAGACATTTAAAAGCTCCAGGGCCTTTGTTTTGAGATTGCTGCTCTAAAGTCTTCTAATGAAAGAAAACTCTCAGGTTAAGTTAGTATGATACGGCACCTTCCACAGATGCCGAAGTGCTTCATAAAAACAAAGTCAAAGATCAGATAATTTCCTTCACTGCATCACTTTCAGCTGGAGTTAAACAACTAACCTCTTGGTTAAACTGATTTTGTTTAACTAGGGTCTTCATGCCTCCACCCTCAGAACTTATTTCTGGTCCTCTGGCAGAAATCTGAACTGTTAGTGGGAGTTTTATTTATCAGCCTCCCACCCTTGGGGTTTATTCTGAACACCTTCAGTGTGCTCTTCTGTAAACATACTGTGGTTGTAGCAGCCTTTTAATAAATGAATCAGAGACTGATGAGTCATGCGCTGATGTGGGGAGTCCAGACGATTAGTGAACACAGTCTGTCTGAGGGGAACGGAGATGAAAAAGACAATCAGCCTGGAGGAGAGAGCTGCACAGGGAGAGGATCTCAGGTGGAGACTAGCGGACTGGATGTAAACACATCCATCACATGCTCCAGATCATCCCACTATGCACTGACCAGCTGGATCACTCAGTGGTTCACTGGCTGCTACTCTGCCCTGTGTACTGTAGCTAAGCCTTTTTGCTGATGGTTGACCAGTTTACTGTTTCAGAGGACGATTTAAAGCCTGACTGAGACTAAAACAACTAAGAACAAGAATGTGAGCCAGATTTGTCAGCTGGTTACAACGTTTACACAGAAGCATAGTTTGAAGGAGGCTAAAACATCTCAATCTTTAACCAACCAGTTCTCATCCTGCAGTAGCAGTCGTTAAGAATGGCCCTTCCCAGTCAAAAGCCAGCTGAATGGCAGCCCACTCCCCTGCAACTCCCAGCGAAATCCCCTCCATGTATCAAACACATTTTTTTACTCTGTCTGCACCCTTTCACTGAATAACAAGGTCTGACCGGGAGATGACGCTTCTTTTTATATCTTAATGTCCACAAATCATGACAGAAAGAATATTTTAGTACAGAGATTGATGTTTAAAAGCTATTTGTGGGGGAACAGCCAAGGGCTCATCAAAGAAAGTGGTAAAATTTTTAATGGCTATTTGTATATGAGCAATATCATAATGCTGCAACCATTGCTTGACAATATGGACAATGTTAAAAGTAATCATGTTCAATAATATAATTTCAGGTCAATGAGCTTTGTAGAATTAAGTGAATGTCAGTGCAGGACGTTTCTGGGTAAATATATATTTTTTTCTTTCCAACATGTATTGTTGTTACACTGTCACAAGTACAGGGCAACGAAATTCACTGCATTTAATCCATCCCCTTGGGGACCAGCGGGCTGCCATTGTGCAGTGCCTGGGAGGAGTTAAGGGTCTTTTCTCAGAGACCCAGAATGGCAGTCTGTGGGAGTGGGACTTGAACTGAGAACCTCAGGGTTCCAAGCTCTATCCTCTAACCACTCCAGAGATCTCTCTCCACAGTAGCATGAACTTCTAAAATGTGGAGCCATGTGCTAGCTTATGGAGTAAAGTTTGGTTCATTATTGTTGCAAGAAAAGAACACAATTTGTAAAGGAAAAATTGAAATAAAACCCACTAGATTTGGTATATTGAAATATAAAAAGAACATCCAGAATGAAAAGATTTAATAAAAAAAGGCTTTGAGAATAACTTTGCTGTTTCCATAGATCTTACTTTTAAAAACTATGAAAATAATGAATAGAATAAAACATTGTGAACAAACTGCACAATTACCCTAAAATACGTTTTTTTGATGAAACTTTTTTCAGTTTAATGTCTTTTTTTTATTGTTTTTATGAATTAGGATTTTATTTAAAAGTTAACCATTTTTTATAGGCAGTGGCGGTAAATTTGTGTGTTCATTTTACTCAGGGCATTATCAGACCACCCCACAATTTGATCTGTTTTACTTCCTGTAAACTCCTGACATCCATTAACCAGCCATATCGGACCCTCTCAATAAAGAATTGAGCTGCTGATGTTGTTGTGTAAAACAACACCTTCTGTGAAACCTTTGCTGACCTTTGGCATCAAGATGATCTGCAGCAAGGCTTAACTGCTGCTGCAGCAGCTTATGACTTGAACAGCTGTCCCCAGGCAGACTGACTTATTCTCTGAACATGAGCTTGTTCCCCAGCTTGTTTACTTCGGCCAGCTTTAAGTTAGCCTGTTAGCTCTGACGTACACAGCTCACATCCTGGCCTAAACAGACTATCCATCTGAAAGAATGCAGGGTGCTCATCAGCTGCAAACAGAAACCCAGAGAAGAGCATCAGGGGTTAACAGCAACACGCTGCACAGTTACTGCTTCCTGCAGGAACCAGATCTTTCTTCTGTGCTCTACTAGCCACACGTCTGCTCTTACTTTTCAGAAAGGATCCATTAAGAGCAGAATACAGACAGAGATGACCAACCTTGATCAATTATTTAGCATCAGACTGCTGCATCATCAACAGTCTGCAAGTAAAGAACCAGTGTTTTTCAGAACCATTTGGAGTATTTAGTTTTAGAGGCATTAGAAATTGATGTGACATGATTTTTTCTCTTTTTTTTTAACCCAAACACCAGTCTCTCTTTGGGACAAAAAAAGGTTCTGAGCTGGGTTCTGTGTGGCGTTAAGGTTCTCTGTGGATCATTAGCCCCCTCATTAAGGCTGCAGTGAACTTCCACCGCTCAAACCATTTAAAATCATAAGGAGAGATGTAGGAGGAAAAGATTAGAGTTTTTGGACCATGCTGCAGTACTGCTCCCCTCCCTCACCTGTTGCTGGGAAAGGTGAAATAACTGGCTCGAAGGGTGAAATAAGTGATTTTTTTCCACTTTTACCCGATGTATTAGAACATCCAACTGCCATGTGAGTATTGTCAACTACAACTCTCGCAAATTTCAATGCTGAAGTCCTCGCAAATTATTAAATAAATTATGTTGTTTGCAGATGTGTCTAGTAGTTCCCATTGATTTTGCTTGTAAAGCGGGGAGAATGGCGCTAGGCTTACCGCACTGTGATGTCACTGCC